GCATCATCTCATTCTCCAGTAGCTGTGCCGGCTGCCTTGATGTTTCTCGCCAGCTTTTGCCTCTCCCTGTTTTTTCTCTCCCCCCTCCTGCAATGTAGCATTGCCTTTCTCCATCTGCCCGATTGTCTCTCTGCTTTTTATCTGGGTGCTGGAGCTCCAGGTGCTGTCATTCTCTGCGACAGCACAGAACGTTTCGCATTGCCTCTGCGGCTGGATAATTACCAGATACTGAGTCACGTGGACTACCCAGCCAAACCCTCCCTCCCCTCCAGTCAGAGAGGAGATCACATCTCGGAAATACGTTTCCTTTTTATTATTATTATTATTATTTTTAAGAAGAAAACCAAGGGAAAGTTTGGAAGTTGCTCTTCTGGAACGACCTAGTGGTGAGCACATGAACGTTATCAACAAGGCAGTGGCGGCTCAGGTAGAAGGAATACTTCATCTCCGATACTGAATTTTGTGAAGGAAGGTAAAGGGGATGATAGTCCATAGGGGCAACTTATTAGTCACTCCCAGGCCCAGTCTTGGTCTATTCCTGAGGCAGAAAAAGATTATAATAGTACAGAGACTCTTGAGTTGATGCTTAGTTTCAGGTCCTTCTACAAATTCAGTGTAAAAGCCAATATCCAGTTCCCAGAAGAGACTAATTGTCTTTCAGTGAGCTTCAGTTCCTAAGCGACTGCAGGTGCTTTTTAAATGCCAGCTCATGTCCTGCTGATGGTAAAAGCACAGCATCCTTGGCGTAAGTGAAGCGAAACCCAAAGACAGATCCTCTGGCAATGTTCCCCATTGCCATCCTGCATCATCTCTGTTATTCCCTGGTTTCCCCTTTTGAAAGTGCAGAGGTCCCAGTGATGCTACGAGAAGCTGCAGACAAGCCAAGTGAGGCATACACTCACGGCTGGAAGAGGTGTGTGATCAGTAGCTGATTAGCGTCACCTAATCATGCTTCGTCGAGATCAGAATCAGGTTTCTGACTGTACTTAAAAGGGACACCAACAAGTCCTGAAAGGGAAAAGGAAGGAGCTCGTGGGCTTTCCTCAGCAGTCTCATCCTCCCATCTGATCCCACTGCAAGACCCTGATGGAAGCTTTAGGAGCTTTATTTGGAAATTTGAAATGTACTGGGTCTGGCTAGGATGGAGTTAACTTTCTTCATAGCAGCTCGTACTGATATCATTAAAAGGTACCTCTGCTTGAATGGATGTGGACTAGAGCTGTTTATGCAGGTATACTGATCCCCAGAAGATGGGAAGAGCTATAAATCAAGCCAGTATAAGTTCTCTTGTTCTGGTATAGTTACATCCACCCCAGGAGAGTACTGGCATAACAATTACTGTAATTTTGGGTTTGATATTTTTTTTCTATACAGAAAACAGAAACCTATGCTCTTAAGAAGTCATTTTAACATAAAGAAAACCCATGGGAAACCAGCTGTGTGTCTGCTAGTGAGAGCCCATGCAGCTCTCGTTTTTAGGCTGGAATATTTTTGGCGAATTCCCTTGGATTTCATTTTCCGTCCGTATCGAATGGAGAGATGAGGATGCTCGCAGCACATGAGCAGTTCTGCACTGATAGTCATATTCGCTGGTTGCAATCCTTTTTGCTTTCATTAAAAACAGTTGATGTTAGGGAGAGCGAGATAGGAACGTTTCTGTACAAGGCACTGGGGAGACCTCATCTAGAAAGTTGGGTATGAATTCTGGTCACGGCAGAGGAGTTCAGACTGAAGCAGGTGTGGAGAAGGGCTACTGGGATGTTTAGGGCAATGGAGAGTCTATCATACAAGAAGAAACTAGAAGAGTCTGGCTTGTTGAGCCCAGCAAAATGAAGGCTGAGAGGGAATATGATTGCTCTCAGTGAACACACTGGAAGATAAGCACCCAGGAGAGAGAAAAGTTATTTAAGCTAAAGGATGGTGTTGGCATAAGAGGAAATGGATATAATCCAGCCATGAATAAATCTAGACTTAAAATTAGAAAAAAGAGAAAGAAAAAAAAAAAGGTTTCTAATCAGCAGAGCAGAAAGACTTTGGGCTGCCTGCCATGCCAAGCATTGGAGAGGGCACTCATGCAATTCAGATGGAGAGTGAGCAGTGGTGCAGGGACCAGAATTGTTGTGAGTGAGTGGTGAGGGGTTAGGGTTAGGGTAGGGTTAGGGTTAGGGTTAGGGTTAGGGTTAGGGTTAGGGTGAGGTTTGGAACTGCTTTTAGCTGATGAGTGTTAGCATTTCTCCTAGCAGTGCTAGTGGAGCTGGTCCTGGCTGTGTAAATAAATGTCTGCAGTCAGGAGCAACAGAGCACATCTCCTCTGGAGAAAATGAGCCAGGTAAGATTTTCTTTGCGTCATGTGTCTAGTTTTTCCTATAGTTAGAGGTGACATTTCTGGCTGAAGATCCCAAAGCACTTTCCTGGGGTAAAGGCATTATCCTTCCCTTTTCTACTGTGAAATTGCCCAAGACCGTTTTCAGTATTGTGGAAATGGTGACTGAGATGTGTGTGAGGATGTCCAGGTGCCTTTCTCCAGTTCCAGTTTCCAGTTGTCCACTCCTGGATGGCTCTTACACAATTGTCAGGCATTGAGTGAGGAAAGGAAAGATATCAGTAGCAGCTAGAAATGGCGCAGTAGCTAAAAATCATGAAGGAGCCACATTGTATTGTACTGTTTGTTTTATTTTGTTTTATTTTTAGTTAAGTTTTGGGGGGCTTTTTTTTTTTTGCTTTTTGTGGGTTTTTTTTTTTTTTTTATGAGATAGCAAAGAGGCTAAAGAGGCACAGCAGCAAGTTTTCTTTTCCTTCTCTGTGTATGGATTGAACTGATGGTAAAATCAATAGTTCCTAAGTCCCTGTAGTGATTGTCCAAGACGTGACCATCACCGCTCGCCGCCCTTCTCAGTAGCTACATCAGCAGATGTCAAGAAATTAAACCCGAAACCACAAGGAAAAGCTGAATGGATGGATCACAAATAGTTTATTAGCACTCACTAGCACTGATGGTAATGCTTTCAATAAGCCTAATGAAAAGCGTTTGACTATCTCAGTGAACTTGTTTATTGATTATTAGTGAATGATAAGAGCCATTTGATATCTTGCAAGATGCCTTGCTCCCATTGCTTTGCAGTTAAAATGTCAGTTAACATGCCATTTAATATTCTATTAGTATTGAATTAGCACTTATTACACTGTGAAAATCATCACCATAAATCCTTATTAAAGCATGATCCATAAGGTTGGGTGGCATCTCTGGCAGAGTAGGAGGGTGCGTGTGTGCAGACTGACATGCTGGGAAACCTGAGTGCATGTTTGGAGCATGCCTGGGCTTGGAGTTTCCAAGCTCGTACACTGATTTTCTGTGGCAGTTTCAGAGGCGCAGGTATGTCCAGATGAGCAGTTCAGACCCAGTTTGCTCGCTTGTCCAGTTTTCCTCCTTGCCTTTTCTTTCCCTCTCTCTCTCACATTATTTTGGTTGTACCACTGGCCTAGGGATAACCCTGAGCAAAAGCAGCACGCAACACATTATGACACAGTTTTTGTTTTCTGTAGTGTGTTTCCTCCTCCTGTCAGTCACTGAGGGCCCCTGAGTGAGCATTCTGAAGGGGTATCTTTGCACCTCATCAAAGAGCATGGCGCAGAAATGGCGCACCTGCCTCCAGGCAGAGTAGGTGGTACATATAGTGCAAGTCCAAAAAGCAGCATGACTGGGTTGGTGCTGTGCTGGCTCTGTTGTACTCTGCTCGTACAGATAGGTGTGTTGCGGGTTTGGAAGTGGCTGAGAAACTTCAACGCCCACTGAGTTCAGCTGCAGCTGTTAATCTGCTTAGTTTCTCAATGCCATCCCCCTTGGGATCTTCACAAATCCAAAATGTGCACAGAGGAACTTGGAATACCTTTCAGAAAGATTGAACCTTAGGCTGGGGTCTTTTGGGCTGCTCTCTAAAGCAAATGTTTGTCAAATCAGGCTTGCTTCCAGCCTGGCCAGCAGCTTGGTGGGCCTCTCAGCTACTCCCACACAGCCTGGCTTTCCTCCTACTCCCAGGTAACTCAGTACAACCCAGAGTGCATCCACAGAGCAGGGGAGTGGGAGGTGCTGGCCGTATGGTGGGGTCACGTCACACAGGACACAGCTGTGGTATGGCCTGAATGAAATGCATTCAAGCAGAGGAACTTGGAAAATGTCTGACCCGTGCTAAGAGGCTGTGTGAAAGCCTCCTAGCCTACTGTCAAATGTTTGTCTTATCATGAAGTAATAGTCTTTATCCTCTCTCTTTTCTTTCTCAAAGGCAACACATGCCTGAATAGTGCCGGGGAGAGGTGCTAGATTATTTGGATGCCAGGAGGCTGTGAGCAGAGCTCTGAGCAATGGAGGAGCGAAAGCTCTGGAGACTGAGCTGCTCTGTCCTACAGGCTGCTGACGGACAGGCTCTCTCAGCCTATGTGAGCCTGGCTCTGATGGGTACAGCTGCCAAGAGAGAGAGAAGTTGAGTCCCCCTTGTCTTCTTCAGCTGTGAGCTTAACACCACAGCTTCTTCTCCTTGTGCTGCTGAACCTGAGGGCTGGAGAAGCTGTGTGCTGAGCTGACAAAGCTGAAGCCCTGAACCTTTGCCCTCTGAACTGGCAGGGGGCTGGGAATGCAACTCCTCTTGTGTGCTTAACTTCTGAAGGTGAGCGGGGAGCATGTGAAGGACTCCTGACCTTTCCTACTGGCAGTTAGAAGGGATCTGGTGACTGGGATCTCTTGTGGCCTTCCAAAGTCATTTATTGTGCATGTGTAGGCCACAGACAACAGGAAGTGAGAGCAGGAGCTGTGGCCACCCCAAATCTCAAATGTTCATGAAGCCTTTCCAAAAATCCTTGTGAAAGAATCGGGCTTTGGGCCATGGTGATGAGGAGCTGCTGTACCAGCAGGATTGTACTAACTAGTACCTGAGCAATGTAGTAGAGGGAAGGGACAAAATGGAGACGCTTGTTAATCTCTCTCTCACCTTTCTCACCGTCTTCAGGTGTTATGTAGAAGACAGAAGCTCCAAGGTGGCCTGGTTAAACCGTTCTGGCATCATTTTTGCTGGAGAGGACAAGTGGTCCCTGGACCCTCGAGTAGAGCTTGAGAAGAGAAACCCACTGGAATACAGCCTGCGGATCCAGAAAGTGGATGTCTATGATGAGGGGTCCTATACGTGTTCAGTGCAGACGCAGCATCACCCCAAGACTTCCCAGGTTTACTTGATTGTGCAAGGTAAGCAACATGCCTGAGAAGCAAGCAAAGAGAGACAAACATGGCAGGTGGAAGGATCTGTGTCCTTCTTAGGGAAACCACAGAGCCAGTAGACTGTGGACCTTGCAATGGCAGCCAAGAGTGAGCAATTCCTTTGGTTTACAACAGGAGCCAGCAGGGCTGCTCCTTCCTCTGTGGCATGGCGTGGCTTTGCTCTGACATCAGTCTGTCCGTTCCAAAGCAGTGACAGAGTAGGGAACATCAGTGATACCAAGGCATATTCGAGATACAAACCTGGCTCTTGGCTCTGGTCCTTCTGGCTCTGAGGGGAAAGCATTTGTTTATGATGCCACTTGTTGGGATGAGGTGCTTGTCTTGTGTCTTCCCAGATAGCCCTCTTGTTTCTTCATCGTCTCTGTCCTCAGATTTTCTTTCTTTTTTCTTACATCAGCAAGAATGTTGTGCTTTTTGGCCTTCTGTTGTCAGCCTCTTGCAAGGCTGGGGAATTAATTTTCCTGGATGTTTTTCTGTGCAGGGTCACTGGTTTGCAGGGTGCACTGTCTCTAGGCATGTGTGAAACCTGGTACCTGTGGTAGCAGCCGCCTACCTTATGTTATGTACTCCATTTTTAGCTGCCCTCCTCCTGCGTATGTCACAGGGAACTGGAAACTTGGCAATCTGAAGCAGCATTGCCCTGTCTGCCTGCCTGCATGCTTGGTATAATAGAGAGTAAACACATCAAGGAGGTCACCAATTACTGGTAAGGGCACTATGGAGTTTGCTTGTTCCATCCTGCCTAGACCAGAATAGCAAACAAAACAGTTGACTTTTTTTTTTTAATTTAATCTTCCTGCAATTCTGTCTATCTGCCTATTTATCTAAAATATTTATAGATTAGCTTAAATAGATAGATACGTATGGCTGTGTTTAATATGTACTGCAGAAACGTTCAGCTTCTTTGTTATCAGTCAGATAGGAATTTGTTGTCTCTTTGGATCTGTCTAGCAAACAAAAATGCTCCAAATTTTATTTCTCACAGCTAATGTTTGGATTATTCTGTGTATAAATACATGTACAAATGGACTCTCCTCTTGCTATTACTTGGCCAGCTCAGGGCTAACTAGCATGTTGAGTGTTCATCAGCAAGACAAAGTCGGGCTGTGTGGTCAGGGGTGATGCCTTACATGTGAGTGCAGTAAAAATGAAGTTCCCAATTTGTCTTGTGCAAAATCCCCCTTCAGCAGCATGAGGAGTTATGTGCACCAGCACTCAGAGCAGGTCTTCTGGACTGTTTGAGAGTTTGAGGGAATGCAGCCAGCATGAAACGCACTCACAGAGCCCTGGAGGTGTACCCAGCCTTGCTGCTTGCTGCAACCGTGCAGGTAGTTTACTTCTGGTAAAGTCTGACCGCATGCGGTTTTCGTTTACCTGTCCAGAAAAAAATTGGTATGAATGAATTTTAGAGCCATGCACATGTATTATTAATTTTATTTGTGCCCATTAGATACAAGTGTAAGCAGCAGAATTGAGTTCTCCAGCTGAGCTTTCAATTAAATGTGTGGGTGTCCAGCTCTGAGCTACTGCCACCTTTCTGAGGATGAGAGAATTCAGGTACTGGCACACTCAAACATGCCTCAAAGCAGTGTCTGTGGATAATCTTTGCTTAACATGTTCCATGAATTTACCAAAAGACCCACTGCAACATCATGCTTACTTCTTAAGCCTCTGGTCCCAGAATTCTGTAATTAGATGAAACTCACAGCTTCAATTTTTCTAAAATTAAATATGATTTGTTATGATTGTTGAAAGAAAAATAAAAAAAGAGAAATATAAATACAAATTCCTTTACAATTTGGAGGAATTAGGCTTATTTTAAACCATATTTTTATTAGTTTAAAACTAATGAATAATTCATTTTAAATAATCTTAACTAATAAAACTAATTTATTAGAAACTGGTATACACTGCAAAATATCCCTTTTCTCTCACTGTATCATTTTCTCATATTGATTATTATTATTATTCCCAGATGTGCAGTTTGCCAGCCTGAAAAATAGTCTGTCACTAGTGCAAATGAGAGGAGTTTGGATATTGAGTTGTGTGCTAAGCTTTTTAGGTTTCTTATTTAATATAATTTATTTCTTTCTCATGCTTTTGTGTAATAAAATTAAAGGCATGGACTAGAGAAAGCAGCGAGCATCCTAAACTGAAAAGTAAATAAATGTTTTCAGGAGGACACAGCTCCTGAAAAATTAAATAACAGGGTTGTTAGTTGATTGATGTGCTGGTCTGGCAGGAGGAAGCCTGGGCTGACCATCAAAAGTTCTTTCTAAGTAATCAGGCTGGTGCTGCCCACACTTGCCACCAGACATCCTGCAGTGTCTGCTGATGGACATCAGCTGTGCTCATGCCCTTTCTCTTGCTCAGTTAGTGATGTCCCAGGTCTCTGCTCCCCTGCACTGGGTACCAGAGGCAGGGCCTTAATCTCTCATTTTTCTGCAACCTCATCTAGATGGTCACTGTGAAAGCCCAGCCCCCCCACTCCAAGAAACAGATGAGCTGGCTATATCAGAGACTAACAAGTAGGTAGGTACAGGATAGGTGCATTATAAATAAGGAAGGCCACTTCCATAACTGCAGTGCCAGCTGAAAGAGATGGGTTTTGATGTTTCCTAAGAATTGGCTGCATTTACATCATCACAGCTTAATGGAGTTTCATTTCTACTCTTCAGAAAATCATAGAATCATAGAATATAAGATTATCCAGCATTCTTTATGACTCTTTCCCCTTTTTCAAACTCTAAGACTGCTCTACTTGGAGATGTAGACATCCACTGCTCAAAGATTGCTGAGCATAACCATTGGCTGGCTCTTCTGTCTTTCTGACTCAGATAGCCAACACTATTGCCAAAGTGGGGTGAGCTGGAGGCAGCTGTCTCTGCCCAGCTCAGTCACAAACAAGTGCTGGTATTGTGCCTTTCACACTGAGGTGAAGACATGAAAATCACAGAATCACAGAATCACCCGGGTTGGAAGGGACCCCAAGGATCATGTAGTTCCAACCCCCCTGCCTAGCAGGGCCACCAAACATACACATTCAGATCAGGTTGCCCAGGACCCCGTCCAACCTGGCCTTAAACACGTCCAAGGACGGGGCATCCACAACCTCCCTGGGCAGCCCGTTCCAGGGCCTAACCACTCTCCTAGTAAAGAACTTCCCCCTAACATCCAACCTAAATCTTCCCTCCTTCAACTTAAAACCATTTCCCCTAGTCCTGCTGTTATCAGCCCTTTTGAAGAGTTTACTCCCCTCCTGGGTGTAGGTTCCCTTCAGGTATTGATAGGCTGCAATGAGGTCACCCCGCAGCCTTCTCTTCTCCAGGCTGAACAAGCCCAACTCCCTCAGCCTGTCCTCATAGGGGAGGTGAAAAGGCAGCTATAACCCACCAGCATTTTATGCTGCCACACTGTTGGTGTAGTGGCAATTAGAGACTTTCATTTGCTACTCTACATATTTCTTTTTGCCTTTGATCAGAGATGCAAAGATCTGGAAGGGCCCACAAGAGGCAGCATGCTCCCTTCCTATGCACTAGAGACAAGATCAAATAGATGTTGGTTGCTTCCAACATGTGTTTTTTGAAGAGACCCCATGCACCAAAAGCCATGTATGGCGATTATCTCATACTTGTTGTGCTTGGAAAGCTTTTAGTAAGATGTGATCCAAACTGTTTTTGTTGCCAAATATTTATGATCCTTCCCCAACAGATGATGGTAATTTATCTTCCTCTTACTCAAAACTACCTTTCACCTGCCCATTAAACCCTATGTCTTAGACATCTGCAATCAAGCCTAACTGGCTGATTTCTCACAAGTTGTATTTTCCATCCCTTACATTGTGCTTTTTTCACTACTATACAATTTGGTAACGCTTTTCCTTAAATATATTGTCCAGAACCTAAGCAAAAGTTCTAGTTTAGGACTCATTTGTGCAGGTGAAAGGTAAATAAGTGACTGTAATATTTTGCATATCATGCTTCACTTAACTGACCTTAGAATGAGATGAAATTCACTTTTTATTTATAAGAATACCTCATTGCTTTCTCTTATTAATTCCTGCAGCTCTCAGGTAGTGGCTTGCTGCATGTTGTGACTTGATGCACATTCTCCATTTCTACAGCTGAGCATTAATTGTGATTTCCCCCTTCCTGAGCACAGCACTGGTGCTTGCTGCTGTTGCTTTCCATCCAGTTGATTTCTCAATGGAGATGGGCTCCGTGGAGGACATACTTGTAGTGGCCCTCATCTTGGCTTCCTCATTGAAAGTCAGGTGCCTTCTTTCTACTGCATCCCAAAGGCGTTAAGTGAAGCGTTAAAAAGATCAGGGCACAAAGAAATCCGTGGTAACAACTCACAATACCTCCCTCCCCGCAGATAGCTGTCTGTTGTTCACAGCTCTTTGAAGCATCCTGATGGTGATTTAACATCTGCCATATTTTCTTAGCTTGTTCAGGAGGCTGTCAGGCCTGCTCAAGTCAAGATATATCACACACTGCTCCCTCTTTATCCACTATGCCAGTTATCCTATAAAAAAAGGGGTGACAAGATATATGTTTGCCAAAAGTGCATTGGTTATTTTTTCCTTTACAGTATTGTTATCCTCTAGGTGTTTATAAAGGGAATGTTTAATTGTTTGTTCCAGTGCAAACTCAGTAACTTGTTCTAGAAGAACAAGTCATAAAGGGAACCTGGTGGCTGCCCCTCTCTAAGCTCTGTCTTGGGCTCTTCTAGGGCTGTAGCCTCAGGCCCTCTTCAGACATAAATAAATGCCAGAGGATAAATCCCAATAGTCCTCACTTAGCAGGGTCACAGGCACAAAGACACAGAGATATTAGCAGGTATGGGGCTTAAAACTTTTGGCACTATTAAAACTGTCCAGCTCAAGCTAAATTGCTCTCAGGTAGGAGCAGGCAGATAGTTGCTGGTTTTGCTGTCAAGAGGCTTTATACCACGGCATTGCTGTG